CCTTTCTTCCACGGACGCAGCACGTGGGACGGATTTCCATAGTGTCTAGCCGCGTTATGGGTTTCGAATTGCCGGCATTTGCGTGTTCTTTACTTAACTTAATCTTGATTACAGTCCAGCGTCGGCATATTGTCGTGGAAGAGGCTGACTCGTGCAAAAACTGTAAAACGTGCGCGTCTATCGGGGGGAATCCCGGTAAGAACTTGGCAAGTTTCAGTTTCCCAGAAAATGACAAATAAAAAAAAATTCGTAGGCGACACGTAACACGGTATCATGTTTATTTTTGAGCATTCGACCGTATCCTGGTATTAAATTTAACGTTGTTAGTAGTCATCTGAAAGGGTGCCTCAGAACTAGAAACTAGAATGCTTGGAATGACATTGTTGACTACTAAAATATTCGGTATTAACTCATCTCCTTTGCACATTATCGATCAAATTGATTTAACGCAACGTGAGCAGTACAAATGTGCTCCCAGTTCTTACCAGACTAGTATAGTACGTACGTGTCAACGAAAACTTGGAGACGGTGGGGTTCGGCAATCGGCGAAGTAGGCGAGACGACGTTAAGCAACGAAAGAATGTGTCGAGCGGGAGAAACTTGTACCCATAAATATCCTTTTAATTACGATGCACAGCGATAACGCCGACTGTACCTATGCACGTAGCCAGAGCATACGTTAAGTCAAACGTAAACTGCGAAACATAGCAGAGATGTTGGCAAACAGCCTTCTACAACGAATTTCTTTGCGTTTCACGAAAAATACCTCAAGGTGAAGCCGAGAACTGTGCAGAAGACAATACGCCGAAAACAGAATCGTGAACGACAAAAAGATAACATGGACAGAAAACCAACATCATTCGTTACGGTGCAAATAAGTAAAAATACTAATAAAAACACTATAATATAGCACTACCGCGGAATATCTTGCGGTAGGCCGCGAGATTCGCTCCGATCGTCAGCTCGCGTCAGAAATTCAGCGTCATCGAATAAAAATCGTTTATCTCCATTGCGGGGTTCTGTTACGAGATCTACGTGATCAGCTTAAAAAACCCGAGCTTCGTTTCGTTAATCCCGCGGAGCTTCCAATAAAGAACTGGTTCCACCAACATCTGACTATCAAAGTGGGGGTTTCGCGAATAAAGATAAACGACTTTTCTGACCGTCTTTCTGATCTGCCACCGACTGCGTCACACCGTGTCACGCGAGAACATAACGAACTTCACTCGACACGTAATACATGGTTTTCGTGCGATCGCGTATGCACTTCTCACCGAAAACAAGAGGCAAAATTAAAACGAAACTGGAAACCCTGTTCCCCCACATTTCTGATCAAATTATCGAGTTAAATGAGAGTTTCTCGGCGCCCTGATTACATCACGTTTAGTTGCACCTAACGAGTTTCAGAAGCAGACCCTTTAAAGAGCATCGCCTGTGCTTCGTGCGCGGCATTGAAATCACCACGTGCTGGAGACTTCGATGCGCGTACAAAACACGAACTCCGACCGGAACACAACGAGAAGTTACAGAATATGTCGTGTGGCGTTTTCTTAATCATTTTAAATATCGCAGAGTAACGAGGAACTCAAAGACCTGTTGCACGACTATAATTTCTTGTCAACTGTCGTCTGCCAGTCTTAAACGCTATATGTACTTACTCTGCTACCGATGTCGATGTAACGCTCAATTCTGGAAGCTCTTCGTTGAGAGGTCGACGTCGCAGATTGACAAGTGCCATTATAACTCGTCACAGCTGACTAATTTATGCTGTTTTCGATTGTCAAATGGAACAGGACTCGAGACGGAAGTGGTATGCATTTTAATTTGTTTCCATTGATTTGAATCAGAGTTCTGAAATTTTGTAAATGAGCTGGTGATGCGTAGACAGAAATGAGGAGAATACTAAAGCAAAATTAAATACTCAAAGAAGATCGAGATAAAAAGAAGAGGAAATAAGCACTAGGATTGTAACGACGACAGTCTCTACGCATCATTCTCATTCTACAGACAAACAGAAACAATTTTCCACGTTGCATAATTGTATCCCGTCTCGGAATCTTCCCCTAACACGTCACCGCGACAATAAGGTACGTGTTCTTGAACTGAGAACGATAAATAGTGATTAGTTCGATCGATAGAATAAAAATGGGAAATCCTGACGACAATTACAAGTACGATTCACAGACTACGATGGCCAAAGTAGTACGTTTCTTTATATAACACAAATATATTGTTCTAGAGTTTATTAAAAATTGTATACACAAATAATTCATGTTTTATCATTTCTATCATCCAGTAATAACCATGAGAGATGGAACAGAGATAAATGAAAGTCAGATGTAGGCTACGAGTCAAGAAAGATTGAGAAACGTTGTGATAGATGTTGAACGCAACGTGAGGCATCCGAACGTGTTATCGAGGAGTATATAACACGTATATCGTCGTAATTTGCATATCTAAATTCACAAGAGGAATCATCCTTTGACAGATAAATCGAACGGTAACAGATTGATATGGAGCAGCATCGTTAGGTTTTACAAATTGATTCGCAATCATGACACGAGATAATATGCTCAGTGAGTTTCTTAAACGCATGTTGCTTAGAATATGTTTCTCCTGATGCCGTATCGCGATTATCAACGGAAATAAAAATAATGCAAAGATACAGCGGCAACTACACTGCATTCCTGCTGTGCCCTGCCTCATCTCATTCGATGTGACTTGTATATTTTCATTTCGGTTAATTGAATCGTACGGCGGAATAGGTAATCTGACAAACTCTATACGTCATATGGTTCGTTAGGATGTTTAACAGGTTATTAATCATGTATTCGCATGGTCTGTCCAGAGAAATAATCTTAATTGAGCAAAATAGTAGAAATTCAACTAAAGACCTAATGAATCATTTCCTCGCCATTTCGAATACAAATGACCGTGGATACGGGTGAAAAGTGAATGTCCGACAATCCCATTACCAAATTCTTCTCAAGGAACAGCACAATGTCCAAGGCGCCCGATGAGTCGTAAATATTGCCAGAACATCGATTCCGCATGGCGATGTTCTTGCCTTGATATATGATAACTTTTTTTTTAATACCTCGCCAACCGTCACACGTCTATGAGGAACACAACGTGGGAAATTATGAAATTCAGCTGTGAGGGGGCATCTCTTTGGAATTAAAGGTGATGAAACACAGTGCTGAAATAGTTACGACGCCGGGAGCAAAAGTGTGTGATCGGTGAAGGTCAGTGTTTGGCCTTGAGAAGTCGGTTTGAGCTCAGTCATGGGAGAGCAAAATCCCTAATCCCGCGATGAGTAACATTCGAAAGTTACAGATAACATCGTGCGTCATTAAATTTTGTAATTTTCTAATAACTATGTTATTGTTACAATTGACATATTTAGGGGAGTGTTGCCTCGTTTCTCGAATTCTCCGAGGGTCAACGAGCTTTCAAAACAGACAGAGCAACATTTCGTAGGTTTACCGTGTTCCTAAAGGAATTCGTTTATGCGACGATACTACTACGTTTGCGTTCGTGACCCAATAACATTATTATGTAAGGACTCCCTAATCCTCTCTCGGTCGACCAGTTCCACGAAATGTCGCGTCACGACTTAATTATATACTAATCGTTCGAATGATGAACGCCGCGCACAAAGTTCTGTAGTTAATATTATATTCAGTGATTGCACGAGTATACAGTTCAAAACAAAAACACAGGACGCGCAGCGTTTTCAAATAAATACAGATTTTAACCTCTCGTTAACGGTCTAGTTTACGATGCTAATTCGTCACCGATGGTGAAAGTGATGATATCTTAATGGAATATCCGTTATCGCGTCAAATTAACGACATTGTACCCACGATAAATACAATGCTTACGACTTCGTCACGACCCATATCTGATTTTAAAAATGCGGAATGTAATCAACAATTAAACGTGTTCGGAAATAAGTGAACTTAATTCAGTCAACTGGAGCGAAGAGAGAATAAATGTAATTGCGAATTTATTGACCATCTTATCTGTAAGGATGATTTGATATTTAAAACCACTCGCGATCACGCATGGTGATCTCGATTCGCGTTAAACCCAGGTAAGACTTGTAGTATGTATCTCTTCTGAAATCTAATTTGATCTTCCTTTCCTCCGTACAATCGCATAAATTTAATTATCTTGTTCAAGTAGGAATCATGCAGAATAACATATCTAGATCTTTTTCTTTCGTAGACACTTTACTAAATTTGAAATTTAGAAATTTCTCTCAGTTTGCTCGAGAACCACGAATCAACCAACAGTCCTGATAACGAGATCAGTTTTCTAAGTAAAGTAATGTAATTGTTGACGCAAATTGTGTGAAGAGTATCGTCGCTTCCACAGTACCTCGACTAATTACTTTATTTCGCGCACGGTAGAAGTTCGTGGTAGTAATCTTCGTGATTGGTTTGGAGAGACAAACAACTCGTTGACATTTTTGCTATCGACTGAACTTTCCAGAAAATGCATAATAACACGGTCGGGTACTTTTTTTGCATTTGGCAGAGGAAATGTTAAACGGCGGTCGAAACGATCACATGTTTGCACTTTCCGCGAATGCGTTTCGTAAACATTACGTTCGATGTACAAAAACTATGTAAGTAATAAGTCGCGAGATCGAGAGTTCTCTTAGCGGTGGGGCGGTGAAACAATTCCACGAGAAACGATACAGGTGTCGGTGAAAAAAGCAATTTAATCGCTACGACGAGTCGAAATGTACGAAGCGAAACGCGCAGTGTCCGCGCGTAAACAGGAAAGGCTGCACCCCAGCTTCGAACGGCCTTGTCCCGAGGGTGGAAGTGGTTGGAGAGGACGCCGGGCCCCTCTCTCCGTGGTGGAAAATGGTAGGGAAGGGAGACCTTGACTCCTCAGTGGCACGGGAAATTCAGACGATCACCCAAGTTCCACAAGTCCCCACCTTGGCTGCCTCTCGGCCGAACCCCACTAGCATAACCAATACTTAAACCGCGGTTTCGCTGCGGCGCGGACTATTCACGCAGCATCGACCGTTGGACCCGTCATTCCGTGGATGTGTCTTCGCGAGAACGCGTGCAACACGCTGGCACATTAACGTTAACACCACCTCACACGTGCCACCGTGAACGCGTGACCCCCACGCACGCACACACGCCCACACGTGCACCCGACACGCGCGCGATAACTTGTGATAGTGCTCGCCTCACCCCCGCCGTGGAGGACCCCTGCGCGTGTGATCGAGGTGTGTCGTTCCAAGGGGTGGATCGCTGTGACCGCTAGATAAAGGCTTTTCCCAAGGAATCCAGGTGCTAGTGAACTAAGAAGGGAGCAGACCCAGCGGATTTCGAAAGCACGACGAACTCCTCTCGAAGAGAGGTCCGACACGAGGTGACCCTTCAGTGCAATCGACCTGGTTCTCAGAAGATCTGGTTCCTCCTCGATTAATTGCGAGTCACGCGATTTTGAGGTCGACACACGCGGTGGAGATTCGGGTGAAGTGAAGTGGCCAGGAGTTTACTTTCGAACGCGACATTGTTTTCGTCGGTAACCAGGTAAGACACAGAGGCCGATGGTTAAGTAGGTTCAGGGATAGTTAGCGCTAGAGATTGCAATTTAGAGTTGTGGAAAGTAAAAAGGAAAGAATAATAGTATAAGTATAAGTGATTAAAAAGAACGAATCGATCAGTTCTGAGAAAAAAATTCTCTACCAGTGCTACGAAGATTCCTGCTAAGTGCTCCAGAATTCGAAAATGATGAGAAGCGTTACTGTAGCCGAGAGGAAAATGAGGGCGGGAAAGTACGATTTTTGCATCCATGGCTCCATGACATTGCGCGCCAAGCGCGATTAAAGCTACGCTCCTCTCTTCGTCGAGGGTTAGTGAAATGAACGTAACCGGTTTATGCTAACCATCCGAAGCGCCATTACAGATTATTTCCCGTGATTCGTTTGTTCTCTATTTATATTCGTTTGTTCTCGATTTTCTTGTTACGTTGAGTAAAAGTAAGTTTTCCCATTACAAAATGTAGGACGTCAAGAGTGATTGAATTACTTGTAATTTGTTACTATTGAATTCTCCCGATATGATTGTTCCACTGTTTGTCAGTGTATCCATCTCACGATCGAATGATTAATAGCCTCGCTATCGTAGACATCACTCAGAGGGAATTGTATAGCTCGCATAGTACTTCTTCAATCGTCGTCTGATCAGTGAAGGACGTATTCTACTCGTAGCAGTATTTCCACTGTGGCAAGTAGAATATATCCCTACCCGATCAGACATCGCTTTAGGGCCGCGCTACGTGTTATTTAAACATCAATGCTTTGTCCACTGATTAATAGTATTAATATCAACAACAAATCCATCCAGCAGTCACTATTAATAAACAGAATACAACGATAAATTGAAACAACTACAGAATCGAATAAAGAAAATGGGACAAGACGATTATGTTATGATTTAAAATAGAAAGTTGAGAAACAAGTGCGTAAGAAATAAAATAAAAATTATTTGCACTTTCTAGAATTACAATTTTCACGTCTCTTTCACCTCGCAGAATGAAAGTTCGAAATCCTTTTTTGTATTAATCAGACGACGATCAAGAGCGCATCGATTCGGAACTTTCGAAATGCATCGCGGTACGTTTGCAACGAGTTCGTGTACAGCGTCAGATTTTGGTTCGCGTTTCACTTTTACGAATGACGCGCCCGTAGAAACTGGCCGGTTATAAATCCGTTGACCTTCAAGCGACGGAAACGCTTTGCTAATCCTGCACGCAACTCAAATACGCCTTCGGTGACCGGTACGTGCCCTTACGAAAGTGTTTCGTTTTTCTTTGCGGCGGCCACCAAATAGAAACATCGATTTCTTCCCAGGGGGTAGTAGTAGTAGTGATTCTTTGGGAACTAATTGCAACGGAACTTGCACGAAATGCCCGTATTACGCAGTTAATCTGACGATAAACAAATCCGTAAATTGGATTACGATTGCAGCTAGCTGACAGATAAAAAGTAGACTAATCTAAAATCTAAACTGATAATCTCGACGGGAATGTTTTAGAAAAGAAATTGTAAACAGTTAAACAACCTGTACTAATGAGTAAATGGCAACCAATTATACCGCATGATATTGCGAAATCTCGTGCATCGAGGATGATGTAGAGCAAACAGACCTAACGATGTCGATGTTTGCCTGTTTCCGTATAACTATGCACCTTTATAAGAAGGAGATTCCATACTAAATACATTTTTGGAAATTTGATAAATATCAAAGTTTGATAGAATCGTCGACATAAATATCCATTTTTTGGTATAATTTCTGAACACAAGCATTTGCAATTCGCATTGAATCGATAAATAAAAAATTGATAAATTAAAAACTTTCGTGACCGTTGACCTACTAAGAGCCCGTAATCGATCAAAAAACGTTCGACCCGACAAGTGTGTCACGCGCATCCTGACAGGCTGCTCGAGAGAGAATGCCGCAGGAAAGAACGTGCGACCCATTTCACCGTGTCGAACTTACAGAAACAAATTGACTTGTATCTCGAACACAATGCTTTTAACAGTGCCAGTGATTACATTAAAGAGAAATTGCTTGCAAGCAAGATACCTGCTACACGGTTAACCGAAGACTCCGAGAGGAAGATGTCGTTTTAGCAGTATTTTTAAACGTATCGACATGAGTTCCTACGGATTAACGCTACGGAAACTCTCCAGGCTACCTGTTATCATCAATAATTAACGTTCTGCTGTAATTATCTTCGTCTACTGATCAGTGAGTCTCGATAGAAAACTGGAACACAGTAGAAATGCGTCAAGAGTTCCATAAAATTCGATCTCGTGACTTCGATGTACTCCTTATCTTCGTGCGTGAAGTTTCGATTTCAGTGACGACATGGCACAGAAGATTATCTTCACCCTCGACTACTGATTTCAACAGAATCCGATATCTGAGTCGATTTCCAAACGTATATTTCGATTCCAACGGAGTATTTATACAGTCAATTACATAAATATTCGTATCCTCTATGTTTATTGAAGGAATCTGTCTAAATTAAATGGTAGGTTTGATGTTTCCAAATGAATCTCTCATTATATATATACAAGTCTAAAGTTTATCCATGTACATATTTACAACGAAAGATTTATTTGAAAACGTCGAAGCTGTTATTTAATTTAGACAAACTTCTTTAATAGACATAGAAGGTACGAATATTTATGAGGCCGGCTCTATGCATCCCCTGTTTTCAAGACTTGTTAATATAGTTCATATTGCGAATAATGTTCAAAGCGATTGGAAACTTAAGTGTTGAATGTTATAGATTTTTCTCAAGGTGTAGGTTGAGACTGGAACGTCTATCACTATAAAAAAATAGTGATCCTCAGCTTGTTGCAACTCATCGAAGAGTTTCATCGGAACTGTCACGCGACCGAGAAATCGTTTGCCTTTGCCCTGCATGGTCAACTACCTGGTTCCGTAACTCGTCGGGTTGCACAACCCCCTTCGGACGAAACACGTAGTCGACATTCGGTACAAGGTCGCTGGACCATTATAAGGCGAAATACCTCGCGTGTTCTGCTCGCAAATATCCAGCCAGGACGGTCGCTAGACTGTCGCTTGGGAACCCTAGAAACGAGATCTACTTCGTCCTTTCCCCGAGGACATATTACAGGCGTCGCAAACGGAAATCGTAAGCTGTGTTAGTACGGGTGCCCTTGATTTTGTTCTTTAAATGTAGTCACTTTTGTGACACGTACCCCCACGTAGGACTCACTGGGGTGCAATGCATCACAGGTTGCCTCGCATCGGTTCTCGATTAAATCCGACTACTTCGTTCAAGGAGCATACTTTCACGGATCTATCTGTTCGTGAATATTCGAGATCAACGTCTAAATACGGAAACAACCAGGCTGGAAAATTCTTCATGCAATTACGTTTGAACACAAGAAAGCTAAACGGTGACCATGCTTGGAAAACATTTTTACGGTGACTTCGTTGATTGTTTCCCAGTATCGACCGAACGACGAAGTCGACGATAATGAAAATATACGCATAGAATGTGGCGCAGGAAAAGAACGTTGCTGTGCGTGGTCGCTTTCTTTGCAGAGATTAATTAACGACGGTATTACTCGCGACGATCAGTCATCAGTTATGGAAGCCAAAAACGGAAAACAAAGTACACAAACCTGTTTCGACGCGGTGCGTAAAACCATTAGTTTGTAAAATACGGTGTCAAGTAAACGGTCAATATCAGACATTGTAAACACACGGTACAGTTTAAGCAGATATTACGTAACGCAATTGCCGACATTCCGCAACCCATGTGTTCCGCTGTGTAAATAAACACCAAGGTTACAAAAATATTCAGACAATTGCGCAAGCAATACCTGTTGCTGAATGATCTTCGCCCAGAATACTTCCAAATAAAATCAAATAACTGCTATTACTATGTCGTTCAAGCGGAGGAAAGAATATCATCTTGAAGAATCAAACATTTATAAAAGTCTTAACACGTAACAAAATATAGTTATTTCTACGGTTGATGTTTTATAACCGACAAAACCTATCCACGTGCTCGGCTATATTATTTGAACGAAGTCGGCAGCTATCATAAGTACTTGGAAGGAAGTTTCACCTATTACACGAAAATCTGAAGAAAATTTGAAATCTTCACAAGTGATAAGGAAATATCGAGTAATATGTGCGTCGGAATCAATTTTCGTTACTAGGCTTATCAAAGTCGTTCTAGTAACGTGCGTTATAAACGGATGATTAATGCCTTAAGCGACAAGCAACGTCATTAAAATAACGCGGAACGTTTCTTAAAGCACTCTACACAAACAGTCTTTAGTCTAATAGTTCTTACATCGTGTTAATAACGATTTTTGAATGATAGGAGAGAAGTTGGTTGCCGACTTTCTTGAAGACTGCGCGGTATGCTTTCTTGGATGGTATTCGAGTAAGAATACGTTTTATACGAGACCTAGAAAACGTGTCAGGTGATGCTCAGCCAGACTTGCCACGGTAATCGAGGACACTGTGAAACCAATACCGTTCCCTCCAACCGGAAATCTTGAGATGAAAGTGAGAAGAAACGAGCTGGTGCCGTTGCGTATCAACGAAGTACCACCAAGAGTCTTCTGTTTTGACTTCGCGCGGTCCCGTTAAATTCCTCAGACGCGTTGGTTTTTGACCAGATGAAAGAAAGTTATGGGCTCTTGAATAAATTTCAATGGAGCTCGCGCTAATAGCTTTGAGCTCCATAGCAACCGAGCCTCACATTTCGCGATTAAAACTTACTTTCAATTTATACTCCATTATACGACTGCAATAAAGGTTCTGTCGTAGAATTTTTCTGAAGTCGAACACCGCTTAAATTCTGAAGGGTTAAATACAGAGACATATACCCCATCCTTGAATGGTTAATTATTACTTCATGTTAGCTATCGTGCAACATAACTGTACCAACTCGACATTCCACTCTGAACGTAAATTGCGGTAAGTGCGTTAACGTGCTCCTGAGTTCTATCGTTTGCAGACATTACCTAATCCTCGTAACACAGTATGGAGAGACCAGTTTGAAGGACAGTTAACGAATAAAATAATCAATGGTATACTTGCTCAGCTTATCGTACAGTGATTGATTTTTCATGACACCTAGCAATAGTTGTATACCGAAAGGTATTAGAAATTTTTATTTTCTCTGGTCGATGACTCATCGTGGTTGCGTTTCGTCGATGGACCAATCCGAGCTCGCTGTTGCTCATTATCACCCTTCGTGAATCCCATTAACATTCTTCGTCGGAGACCACGTGTGAGATTCAATTTGAAATAAAAAGTAGTCGTTCCTAAGAACGGACATCCCACTTTCCTCTATTATACGAAATCGAGAGGACCCAATTCAATTTCATACAATCGGGAATTATTGTATCTCCTCGGGTTTTGTGAAATAAACTGTACTGAAACTCTTCGATGCGTGTGCACTCGAAAAAAGTTAGAAGCGTGAATGACAAGCATTTAAAAACGCTGTCAAACAACGTTCCATCGAATCACGCGATGTTATTAAATAAATATGAAACTCAGAAAAAAAGTTTATCGACACGTGAATGACGAACAAAATGGAAGAAATATTGAAGGGAAATTGCTCATGCAGAAATAACAGTTTATTTGTGACGCAAAGGCTTCGAACGAGGAAACTCTACTGAGACAGGCATGCTCGGGACGTTCTGCTGATACAATGCTGATACGCCGGAAAACGTTGATTAAGAGAAGTTAATTACTATGAATCGGCGTATAACTTACCGATGGACAGAGTAGGTTGAGATTAGTCTATCGAGGGTATATGAAATTCTACATGAAGCCTATTTGTGTAAGACATGTGTTAAGTTCCCCATTCACCAACCGCGGATCAGAAAGCGTGCAGATCAAATTGGCCTAAAGAAGTGTTTTAATAACGTATTGAAATGTAGAACACGAGCAATGTCGATGGTATCGACACCATTGATGAAACTTAATTTTCCTATTATTCGTTAGTTTGAATCATTTAATAACTGTACATGACACTAAAAGGACGGAAGCGTACAACTACGATGTTGTTCGGTGAGATAAAAATTAGTTTGGGAAAAGACGAACGCACAAAGCTCGACTGAAAAACTACTCCAGCGACCTACGTGTTCGCCGAATGAGGAAGGTGATCGTAATTTTCTCCCAGTCAACTAGAAACCTGGGCTGGGACTTGATGAAATCCGAAAGTGACAAATGAGGAAGTAGGTGGCCACTCGTGAAAGAAATGGCCCAGAAACGGTCCGAAGAACCACGCGTTTTACGGACTTCAATGACCATAACTCGCAGACGGAGTCTCGTAGAAATTTCACGAAAAACTATTTACACGCTTATAAATATGCAACGGCTGAATTTCACGGACAGAACGCGAGGTTAAGGTTGATGAAAAAACAAGAGAGAAATTCAATGGAACCGGAACACGGTGAACGCAAGAAAGAGGCATAATGCGAATGTCAATAATTATTCGCAACAATCTGCCTAACGCCTGTTCGTAGAAAGTGCCTGTCTCTATTTGCTCGGTCATGGTAATTCGCCGTTTAACATGCTGTCTACTATGCTAAATTTGTAGACTTATTGGGTCGCGAATTGACGGATGATATTGATATCGAAGGAATTCGATAGTTTCACTGTCAAAGGACGTGCAGAGAACGTGTCGATGTTGCTGACATCGAAGAACAGATCTGATTCGATGCTAGTCTTTCAGTTATACTTTACCATTTGAATTGAAATTTAAAATTTGCCTTATCTCTTCGTTTCATCTATCTATAAATTTTCATATAGTATTGGACCTGTTCGTAAACTCTTGTAAAGTGGAACTATTAGGCTCTACTTTTGTTACGAGGCACCGACAGCATTCGAGGTGTTGGTGAGTTTTACTATCGGCGATTTTCCTAGCGATAGGAGGAAAAGCTAATCGCTTCGATGAGTTAACGTTGGAGAGCAAGGCTCTCCTATCTAAGTCGTTCGTCCTCTCATTTTAACAAACTCGAAGGAGAATTGGAGCAATGCTAACATTCGGTGGCTATGGTTAACGATAATCGGGCCGCTATCTTGTCAGGAATAAGATTTATAGAGTAGTTACGAATTGGAGTAGACCAATTGGAAATAAATGAAAGGGGTCGGAAAATAGGAGCGAATGATTGAAACTGTAGTGGTCTTCTACCTTATTCGATTATTCACTACGTACCACATTTAATATACGATTAAGTCATTAATGTTGGTTTTATTAGGGACGCTAACTCGAAGAAAGTAGTTCATATTCCAAGTCCAGGAAACCGTGAAAGGAATTAGAAAAATATCTGATTTATGCTCGGAATGTTATTGAAACGAATCAACGTGAAACAAAGATTTATTACCCCCTGCTGTTATTCGCAGCGTTGGCCAGTTGGTCACTTTATCAATTGTATGAAAAATCACTATAGGACAAAAGAGTTTCTTAATTTCATTTCCAATAAGTTTAATTTGAGAATCGCTGCAGTGGCTTTTACATGTCAACAAACGCAAAGTATCAAACTCATCGATCCGAAGTAGATTCAGACGTCTGACCAGTCCTATTGTTTTTTCGCGGGTACTTTTTTCAGAACAGGTTCTCCTGCACTTAATAAGTGTACTTGGCCTACGATTTTCCGTAAACCGTGGCAGTGAATCAGAAAGTAACAGGAAAAAAAGCGGTAGAACCACGTGTAAGGACCGACAGAGGGAAGCGGTGGAATCGGAAAAACGGAGCAAATATGGACCGTGGAAGAAAACGTGCGAGCTACACCGTAACCGAGAACGGGACAAGGCGGAGGAGACGCGATACAGCATGATCGGCATCCAACCGTTGACCCACTTACCCACTAAACACCGAGCGAATGTGTTTAAACGATACCTACTAGTGCAAACCATCCTTCCTTGTCAACGGCAAATCATCGTCGCATCTGTCCGTACCATTATCGCTGTACACGTACGCATTCTCTCCCATTGAAGTAGATCTCCCATCAACGCCACCGATTTACCTTTCTCTCTTTTCCCTTGGTCTCTCTTTTTCGTGACGTCGCGGCGCTCAGGAGCTTCCATCCGCGTGTATTTCACGGCCTCTTCGCGGTAATCGGAACTTTCTCTGTAACGAGTACCGTTCGACAGCCTCGGACGGTGCATCTCGATAAATCGACGCCGCGTACCACTGGATACTATCCACGGTACGAGAGCCTAAGATATGTGCATAGTTGAGTGGGTGGCCGAGCCTTGAACTTTACGAACGTATAATCTGTCTTGGTTTGTTTGTAAATACAGAATAAATGGGTCAATCCCACGATGCCTTGGGTCGAGACCCAGATACATGTTTAAGATACGGATGCCTGATGAGCCATCCCTTAAACCTTCGCACTCCTATGTCGAATGTAACTCGACATTTTTTCGTGTCCAAATCAATAGTGAAGGAAATTGTTTCAAGAAATATCATACATTTGAAAATTACAAAGTACAACAGAAGTGAGAATAAAACTGGTATTTAAGCGAACTTTTTTCTTCCATTGTTTATTTAAATTGCCTTGGGAGCGGTAAGCGTTGGGAGCTGCTGATAACAAAATTGAAATAAAATTCGGAGTGTAAAGGGTTAACAATGAATATTTATATATCGAGATACTGGTGTTCGAGGAATGGAAAGTACCAAGTGATAAATACCGATACTCTAACCGATCGTGTCGCTCATTTGTAAATATCTGTTTCTAGCAAAACATGTTTTTGTAGGAAGCTTTACACTCGCTCTCTCTAGCTTATCTAGACCATCCTCTGTTAACCCCTTGACACTCCCACGCCATCTTCTTTCCAACACTTCCAACACCTTCCACGGAAAACCTTCTCGTTCGGAACCTCCCCCTAACAGTTAACAAGGCAGTCGACTTTTTTCCCCGGAGAACATTACGAATATATACGTAAGAACGGTCGTTAAAAGCGACAACGGTGAAACCAAGAAAGGGAAAAGGACGATGCAACGACATTGAGCAACTGACTTGGAAGCAGCTGCGTATGACCGTTACTCCAGTTTTTCGCGACTCGAAACCACGATTTCGTTATGTTAAATAGCCTATCAGACCGCGTTGGCCTTAGAGAACATTCAACGCACGGGCACGGACGGCGGTGTACCAGGTTCTGGTCTACTTACCGCGAACTGCACGCAGTGGCTAACGAAATTCAAGATTGCGCTTTCGTGTGCGATACATTGCGGAGTAATAATCAATGGACCGCGCTCAAGGCGGTGTTGGGCAAAGTGTAAACCGTGATTGTAATTACGTGACTAAATGAAGGGGTGAAAGCCAATGCGACGTGAGCCACCTTTTACTTCTCATCTAACTAGCGAAATTTCAAGTTTCGTGTCATCTTAAAATACCCAAGCAAGGTTAAACTGCTTACTCGAATGGTTCTATCAAAAATTTTCTGACGCAAGCGAATGAATCGCGACTGAAACGCCGGGACCAAATTTGAAGGCAAGAGAGAACGAGTGTAAATATTCGCGTTATCTCGATTAGCTGGCGCCGTTGCGCGATTCTTGGGCAGCGAAAGTCGAAATACAGCGCGCGTTTTGTGATTTCCAATTAGTTTCACGAGTTTCTTGTAATATCTCCGATTAACAGTTGAATCGTTGCAGGTATTCCGTTTCCGCGCGTGTTCAATTACAATACGTATAAGAAGTTGCTATTATACGTGACACTTTAAATGTTGCTCCGAGCACAGACGTAGTAACGTCCGATGATACGAACGCGTTAAAACCGATAGTTAGGTGTCGCTTACTATTGAAAGAGAGAAAAGTGTGGAAAATTGTCTGCATGCAATATCGCACGTCTGCCAGACGACACGACGAAATTGTTCTTACGGGCAAGATTACTAATTGCTGGTTCGATTTTCACATGGTCGCTTTACTTTCGATAACGGAGACTTTACAAAATAAGAAAAAAAAATGTTTGAGAAGATTGGTGTTGAATGAATTTTTACTTCTTAAAACTATCGACTGTTTCGAGTTCCATCTTTTTTATTGAGAAATATTGAAAAATATCAGCCTGTAGAAATTTTGAAAAATTTTTGGTTGATTTCGTAAGGTGTCGAATAAGATATAGCGATATAAGATGGAGCAATCTATAAGATAGCTGCAAATGGTTGCTAATTACTTAGACTTGCACTACCTAGTTTGCACCTCGAAATCGAATAGGTCCTCTTTCCAAACGTTCGTATGCGATCTTTGATGCAATCCTTAGAATATTAAGGCGCATGACTTTTAGATGATACTATATTACCGCAAACGAAAAGGTTAAACGCCACTGTTTTAACGAGTTGGTAGGCGACGTTGCGTCAACGAAAAATCGAACATTTCAAACGCGCGCCTATAACTTAGCAACAATTGCGAAACGTAACTTGCGAAATGCGGCACCGGTCGCGGGGAAATGGGAAAGGGGTGCGGGATTTTTCATATGAGTTGCTTAACTTAGAGGTTCAAGACTCCTACGGACACGGTCAATACTAACACCTAGCGAACCGGTCTCGCATTAACACGGCCTAAATAATCCAGACGTACTGTGTTCGAAACATATTCCAGCGCAAATCGATTCGAAACGATTCGACGAAATATCAATTTTTCACGTACAAAAAATACTGTTCAGTTTTTATTTTTATTCAATTACAGATGAATCGAATAATTACTCTTAAATATTCTTCCGCGCATCTCATTGTCAATTCGTAACTGGTGAACTCTGACACAAGAAATCGAATGATAAAAACGATAATCGAAACCAGCGATGACGAAAGGTGACAAGAAGTCGTACGTGATCATCTTCGTTCCCGTTCCACTCCATCGGTGTAACCTCGTTTCGGTGAAAAGCATCGCCGTAAACCAATCGCGGCGAGTAAAATTGAAAAGAGTTGAAAATGTTATATCTCCAGAGAAGGCCTGTCTAGTCGCTGCCGGCGATAATTAAAAAGAAAAAAGCAAATGGAGAATCAGAACTCCGCTACGCACTCTTGGAGAGAAAGACTCGAGCGACGATCATCGACCATTTAAAGAGAATTTATTTATTCAACGATCACACTTTTCTATAAATAGAAATCAATTGCGACATAAATCTAGAGAAAAATTAGCAGACGTCTATGAATAAATACGCTCTGGACTAAAATAACATACGTTGCATAATTGTCATTTTAAGTAAATAAAGAAAAAAATTGAAGATACCGTAAACTCAGTACCTCCTACGTAAGCTATCTCAAAATAATTGGTCTGTTCACTGTTCATTTCCACCCTCGTGTACTGGTGATTCCAGTTGCCGATTAATCGCGACTATCGGCGACATAAACGCAACGGGGACGAGAGAAGGTCGTTTTGTCCTTATTAACGTGAACAAGTGAAAACGACGCGACACAATAACGTTCCTCGAGGATTGCGTCGAACGCGAACTTCCTGACCCGTCGCGTACAGCTTCCAGCGTTTCGCGCGACTCGATCGCCGATAAACTTTGTTCTCTTCGGACGTATGCGAATGCGCGAACGTGCCCCGAGAGACAAAGTAGCTCCGCAAACTTCCCTGACTCGAATTCTACTAGAACGGAGAGCCCGTAAATCATGGGAGATCGTTTTAATGCGTCCAGTCGGTCTCTCTTAATGCGGATTGCATCGTGCTTCGAAGATAATTCCCAACGCATCGATATTAAGAAACCGAAAAGAGTTGTGGGGAATCTGCCTGACTCGAATCCAATTGAGAAATGAATACAGTGGGCACGAAAGATATTTGGACGAGTATTTTAAACAAAGATTTACGTAGAGGGCTCGAGAGAAACTTTCTTAGTCTAAGAAGCAAGTTTAACGAAATTAATCAAACTTTTTCGAAATATGGAAAACCTTACGAAGCTTCTTTCTGTTCTATCACCATCATCTGTTTCTGTCCTACGCTTTCGTTCCAGTTCGCGTAGTACAGAATCTGTCGTCGAAATCGCGAGGGACGCGATCGATCGAGCATTTCCGGTGCACGGTATAAAGATCTCCAAGAGAAAGAAAAGAATCTCTATGTCTTTCTCCCTCTCGTTTGCAGAAATGGCATCTGCAGCGGCGGAGTTGGTTGCCGAAAGGGAACCAGAGCCGAGGATCGAGATGACGGACATGAACAGAACGTTCGTGGGCGCCCAGGGATTGGTGCGAATGGCCTTGGATCAGTACACGGAAATCCTCACGACGGTTTCCGATCCAAGGGTCAGCGACTGGCCTCTGATGGACTCGCCCATACCAACCTTCCTCATCGTGCTCCTCTACTTGTACGTAGTGACGTTATTCGGGCCGCGTGTCATGTCCAATAGGAAGCCCTTCAAGCTAAGGGGAACGTTGGTCGCTTACAATGCGTTCCAGGTGGTCTTCTCGTTGGGAATGCTATACGAGGTAAGCGTCTACAGTGTAACGAACCATCTACCGACGATGGTAACTTTTTTCAGTGCAAGCGTAGCCTCTACTTACTTCTGACATCAGGTATCCTTCCTCCTCCCGTTATACATTTTTCTTTAGCAATTCTTAGCCAACAAGTACCAGTAGTAGAAACGCCAAGCTTTAAAATAATATGTAACACGGCAGATAATTATGACATAACCCAATAGATAAGAGAAATGGCAGTATGTAGAACTAAATTATAGGATACAGACGTCGCAGCGTCTCGCGCAACGCAATTGTAAATCGCAAGTAATAATCGTGCCCGTGACATCAGCCTCGGCGCAACAAGTACATCTCCAGCTTAACCGTGAAACGTCGACCTGACGATTAAGAGCAATTACGAGCTTTTCATCAGAAGGAAGGAGAGGTAGTAGCCTCTAACCAGAGAAGAAGAGGAGCTCTGTCGACCGTTTCACTCGTCACAAGGTCTCGAGAACGTTTCAAAACATCAGGGACGACTTTCTCTAAATCACGGAGATTAAGAGGTTTGATGCTAGTAGCGATGTGCTCGCGTGCCAAGAGGTTCACGAGAGATCGATGCACCGACGGGATCCAAAGTTCATGGTTCCCATGCCTCTCTCCGCGGAGGATCGTAAACGTAAGTAGGTCGCTAGACGAAAATGTCAGCTAACGAGAAAGAAAAATGTCCACGGCGTGAAAATAGTCCCGCGTGGAACACGATGATTTGCGAACGTTCAATGCGCAATAGGCGAAGGTAGACGAAGAAGCTATCGGACAAATTTTGATTGTACCACGAACGAGGATTTACCTTGGATCGAGGGGAATTCCAATGGTGGCCACTTTAATGAAACCAATCAAAGTTTTATTTATTTTGTGAATAAATGAACGATGTACCTTCACTGGTTCGCTATTCGCCATCTCGGTCGAAGAAAATTTGAATTCAATAATTTAGACGCGTGATACGCGTCCAGTGGACCGTGATGAATCCCGTGGGCGTAGCGTTGCGATAGACGTTGAGTATTCGGTAACTTAATCAACTGGAACCACGTATCCGAATACCGAGTCGCCTTGGTCGATTCTTGGAGCACCAAATGCCTCGAAAGCGCTGTTTCCAGAAATTTCGGATACGAATACAGAAACATGAAAAAACTGAGATTCCTAGCAACGAGAATCTAGCTACAACTCTTGGGCAATTTCATCCCAAGGAAAATAAATTTGGCTCTTGCCCCGATCGAATCGATGACTTTCTATCTTGTCCCTCAATCTTTTCAATCTTTACAAATCCACCTGTTTAATGTCGAGCACCTGCCAAAGTCCGTGAAACGACGTCCTTTGCTATAAATTCGAGAGGAAAGAGAAACTGTTGGACCCCGAAATATCTGGTGAACGACCGAGATGTTACTTGAAGGTCTCCAAGGACACTTGAGTCATTCCCTAAGTCCGATCACCTTGAACCACTATTCGGTGTGTTCGAGCGGACTTTGCTCCCTGTCTGTCGGATTCAAACGTGGTAGGTTGTGAAACGCGCGACATTCCGTTTCTAAATAGGCACTTGGCCCTATCACCTTGCCTAAAATTAACGATTCGATGTCTTCGAGCGATTCTTTGATAACTCGTTTGATTACGTTACCGTGCGTCCTTGTGACCGCGATTGACGTCTGCAGACCTGGCGCACAATATTTATTTTTCACGAACTTTACTATATTTTATATAATTTGATAGAAGTATTGTCACTCATGGAACGCATTCTGCAAAACACCGCTCGGCAAAGAGAAATCAGAGTCATGTGGCTTCGATCAGGAGTGTTCCTCTCCAAAAACACGATCAAAAAGAAGTCGTTGCGACAGCGTACCCTCGAACGAATAGTGCTACGATTATTCCAGTTATTCGAACGAGACAATTCGAAATTCCGAACGTCACTGCCCGCGAATTTCGCTTCTTTCCATCGTGATTGCGAATAGGATGAACAACAGGGGGTGAGAAATCGCGGCACACGGTTGCAGAAAGAAAAGAGAAGCTATGCAAGGACTAGACTCTCGAGGCTTTCGAGACAGTTGCCCAATCGATTTGTACATACACTCGCGCAGCTCGCGGTTCGTTAAAGGCGAAGCATCCTGTTTTCGACTTTCCATGAACCGTTCGTTTGCAATTTGCGCGGCTAGAGAGCAACGTGTGCTCGTTTGGGTTTCAGACTGAGGAGCAGCTTATGTCCTAGCACGAGCTAACGGGGAACATCGCTCAACAATTTTTATAAAACAGTGAAAGGTACTTTTTTTAGCGGCTGATATTCGTGTCCAGGGGGTGAAAACTGTGGACAACACAACTTTGAGGATGCTTCTCACTCCTGAAAAATTTTTATCTGATCGATGTTCATTCTAAGTCTGACATAGTCCCAAGAATCACTCGTTAGATCTCAGTAGTTTGGTATCTACACACTTACAGATTATCAAGCCTCGACAGACCAGTTTCCTTGTCATCTGCGTTCAATATACTATGGAAAGTAATATTCTCATTTTCGACCTAGATAATCCAAACGAGGGTATCGTCAAGTTCATCACCTAGCGAGATCATCGATTCATCGAGGACAAATGATGGATTATTTTCTAGCCAAGACATAGTAGGTCGCAAAAGTTAGCAAACATAATGGGAAGTACAATTGTTATGGAAGTTTTATTTGATTTCACCTGCTCAGGTCGCGTTACTTCACCAGCGCCAAATGGTTTTGCGTTACGGATGAACTACTTTACTTGCACGCAGTGTTTCAAAATTTTCCGACTTGCAGAGAATATAAATATTTCGGCCTCGTTTTGTTTGTATCCTCTTCGGGAATAATTAGACGAGGCGTAACTTTTTCCACGGCACTTCTTTTTAAGTTAAAATGAAGAATTCAACGTGAACTGAATCAAAATGAGACAAAAACGTTTACAATGTACATATATTTATACGTATGCTTCCGTCAGACTACATTATTCCTAAATTATGCTAACAACGGACACTTTCCCATGTCACTTTACAGGAAACTGACTCAGCAGTGGTGTCGATTTCTGTCCAATAAATTTTGGTTACCCATCTACGCGCAATCGTTGTTTCAAATAATAAAACAAGCAACTCGATCCTTTACTATTTAAATAATAATAATAATAATAATAATAATAATAATAATAATAATAATAATAATAATAATAATAATAATAATAATAATAATAATAGTTTATGTTGTAGATGAATTCACAAAGACACAAGTCATCGTTACGTAATCTGTCATTACGTAACGAGAAACATTATAACTGTTTCCTCATTATAACTTTAAAAAAAAACTGATTACGTCTAGAATTGCTGTATCGATGTCACGTTAATATGTTAATACGTCAATGAAATACATTGAGGGTGTCGATGACTGGATTAGTGGCGAAAATACGTCCACTTACCTTGCACTGAAGGAAGATACCTCGTCGAATAAATAAATATACGAGAAACCAAAAGTTAAAACGTTCTCGCGAGATCCGGAATCAGCACATTGATCGTGAACTCCTGTTTCACAGCACCTGATGTCTGGTTGGCTGTTGGATTATAGCTACAAGTGTCAACCGGTCGACTACTCCCACAACCCTTCCGCGCTGCGAATGGCGAAACTGTGTTGGTGGTACTTCATCAGCAAATTCACGGAATTCGCCGACACGGTACGTATTACAATTGGTTACATATGCATGATTCATTTCGCAGTCCGAACGGAATGAAATTCAAACGGATTGGTCGAAGAGCAGAGGTGAGCGAGAAAATCATTAATTCTCCTACGAAATTTCAGATATTCTTCGTTCTGCGCAAAAAGGACAGCCAGGTGACGTTCTTGCACCTGTACCACCACTCTCTGACACCCCTGGAGACGTGGATCTGCGTGAAATTCATCGCTGGAGGCCATGGCACTCTGGGAAACCTGATAAACAACGCGGTGCACGTGATAATGTACGCATACTACATGGTGTCCGCGATGGGACCCGAGTACCAGAAATATATATGGTGGAAAAAACACCTCACCACTGTGCAACTGGTAGGTAGCTCGATTCGCGAACACTGGGAGCACACCCCATAATATTTTCTTTTCTCTCAACGTTCATCTTCTATTCGCAGCTGGCCACTTAGTTGAATGGTTGAATTCGAAGGTATTAGTGGACTTTTGTGATATGTTAATTAATTGGTAAGTACTATTCAACGCTTCGTAATATGTTAAATAGCACAGAAGAATCGTTGAACAGTACTAACATTTTCGACCCAACCAGATGAATTCGAGCAATCGTCTAGATTCTGTTTTTAACCGAGTTCTGTTCGCCGAGACAAGAAATTGTCTGCAACTGAAAAACGACTTCCGGACGCAAGAAACAACACAGAGTTTCATGAACGTCAATTGCGAAGAAACATTCTAGGCTTTTATCATTTCGTTTGCATCTTTTTGCTCTATAAATTCCGTTGGCGTTACTAACGAAACATGCAACCAATGACCATCCATTACAGGCGTCGCTCGTGCACGTAATTCTATCGCTTAACTATAGTATAATACTTTATTACTCAACGTTAAACCATATTCCCACCTGACGACCGTGTGCTGTTGAAGACAATGCACTCTAAAATTACGCAAATGTTTGCGAGGTAAATTATCAATTTAATGACAAAATAAATCTGTTACAAGCCTGCGTTTATGCCTCTCGTGACCGCACCTGGGTGAAGTGATTGTTCGTTAATGCTACACTAGCAAATTCAAAGAAACAAAATTTGTTTAAAAATGAACGCGTTATCCAAAGAGTACTAAGAACCCCTGACGATCGACGATCCTCTGTACCAAGCGGTCGACATTCTGCCACTCTTCAGGCGCATCGTTGAGATTGTTGACTCGAGTCAAAATATTTAAGTCACATTTCCATCCAATATTACGCGACTTACATAAATGCTTACATTGCATAACAAAAATATGCAACTTTGTCTTCCTGTATGCATTCTTCGTTAATTACTTCGATACACTTCGCAAGTTTGACTTTTATAATTACCCGTGAATAAACATAAGGCCAAGGTGTACGGACGTGTCGGAAAATGAATTGTTTGCGTGGAAGGAAAGAGAATAATTACCAGTACATTTCATCGAAACGTGACGTTTAAATTTCACATTATCGTTTCGAGACCTGATTAGATTGGCTCTCGCGACTTTTTGAGAACGGAGCCTTCCGAAAGGAGCGCTTGGAAAGGGATCGAAGGAAAGTTGCCGAGCCCAGGTTCCCTGGCCAGTGACCAACAGAGACGCGCGAAGGGAAGAAAAGAAAGGCGCCCGAATGCCACGCAAATAAATTCCTAATCATCGAAACCAGAACTCGCCGGTGTGTGTCTTTGTGCACATAACCGCGGCGAATGATCTCGCAATCGGCGTCCACCGAGCACCAAACAGTCTTCCATGCGAGATTCGCGATACCTTCTTCTTGCGCAAGGCTCATCGCGGATAATGTGATCGCCGCATCGACAAACGTGAGAGGATGCGCGCGGCATCGAGAAGAGATTCGTTCAACCGCGCAGTTCAATTCAAATTTAAATCTACCGTCCGAACGACAAAGAGAACTTTTTTCTAAAAATGATCACCCAAATATTGCCCATTCCTGGATGCATCGGGCACTCTCGAAACGCAACGTTTCGGCCGGATAAGTTCCAAGCGAGCGCGAGATTGCAGCAATCGACAACGGGCGAAGGAAAACGGGCGATAAAGATCTATCCAATGGACCGCGTGCCGCTCACCAATAACGAAACAAATAGCCGTTCGCCGTCGTCATTGTGTGCTAATCGCGCTGCAACCTAAAACTGGTCGTACGACGCAGTAACGCGGGTCAAAACCAAGGATGGGCAAAATTCTTGTTTAGAATAAAAGATAACGAACACACGCTAGCGTTCTATCCTTTAGTATAGACTCCGATCGGTGTTGAAAACACGATGTCGATGTCATTAAAACCAGAGAACTCCCTCGAGAGCCTCTCCGGTAGCTCGTGGAAGACCTAACCGATGCAAGTGCAATGTACAGCTTGGCAAAGGAGTAACCATTATTCGTTGCACCTTTGCGAGGAACATTTCCAATGCATTAAAGAAATTGCGTATATCTTTCCACTCGCGAGACCCTGAGATTCCTAGACCAACAGAATTTCGAATCATCCGATGTCATTAAGTCTGTTGCACCTACCAAGCCACTTATGAATTCTTAAATATGACTTTCGAGCCAACTGGAACTTCTGCTCGACGAAACTGCTGGAAAACTTGCAACAGAGGCTATTAACGGACTACTGTTCGGCGCTATAGGACGCCTGACCGACAAAATAGCACATTAGTGCGCCGATGTTGATACATCCACAGTAATTGCTCTAGCTATAAAATCGTATCGTATATTATTATCTTTGATACGAACACTCGCGATGGACGAAGATTTCGAACGTGAAATTGCATTAAAATACATTGAGCTGTGTAGACCTGAAGGGATGAGCCTATGTCAAGCTCGTTCCAGGGCAAGACCAAGCTCCAAGAAAATTGTAAAACCCGGCGAGGGTCCCTAGGACTCCTACCACGAGGTAGATCTACTGTGCCCAGTGCACCGTGTTCCCAAGGATTCTGAGCCATCGGTGGCCACCCGAGCAAATATCTGGACAAAATTTCACGCAGACCGACGTGGTAGGGGTGAGGGAAAGTGAAAAATACAAGGTTGGGCAATTGCAGGCTGACTTGCTTTGGCCGGACTAGGCCGACTATGACGCGGTGGCGCAACAATTTGGCATTCCGATATGCCGTATAGCACCGTGTGCCACCACCACACCATCGCCATCGTCGTCGCTGAACTACCAGGAACCGGCTGCATGCCTGTAGCCTCACCTATGTGTTCGCCTATCTTGCTTTATCCCGCGACACCATCATCGGCAAGAATCTCTCAAAGGACGAATGATACTGTTCTTTCCTGGAATACCAGCAGACATTATCTCCTTCCTCCATCGAAATGCGCTTTACGAGCGTCAGAGGATGTTCCGCAATCGCTCGTAGTTGCGATTACCAGAGAGCTGGTAAGATCAGTCCCGAAGCAGAAAAGAAAAGTATCGACTTTGTTCGAGCACCATAAGCAAGGATAACTGGATGAGCGTTTATTCGATACCTAAAATCCTGAAGATGTTGAAATCAGTCTCAACACTCTCTCGCCAACAGGACACTCACACCCCATACAGTGCAGTCGAAAACTTGAACTGCTCAAATCCTTTTACTCGATGCGAGCAACTGGATTCATTATCGGCCACCTTATACCGTACGCCAGGAAATTATACGTCGCATAACGGCGCAATGAAATTTCCACGGGTTAATGGATCGATAGGCTGCGTTGCGACAGATCGTTTGCCAGAATCTATCCGATCAAGCGCAGGCACATAATATGCGAAATGTTCCCGATTGCCCTTGCAACATCACCGCGATCGCTTACAAGTTGTAGTCCATTGATTCGTAGGTACCGTGCACCACGTCCGTGTGTGTATCTTCGTGACACGATTCAGCTTGCAACACCTTGCACTTCTAATGCAACGAGAAAGACACGTGACCGTGCAATCGCCATACGCTGTTCGCTTAATTACAACAAAAAACATCTAAACACTTGAAAATTGCCACCTTCGACTGTGTCTAATTTTCACGTATTTAATATTCGTTTCGTTTGAATGCACATTTATTGCCTAACAATACGTAAATTGTCACGTTGCACGGCTTCATCTTTCTTCTGGAAGATACAAAGCTAAGAAAGCATTTTTTTCCAGCCAATTGAACATGAATCGAATATTTTTATTTACACACGAAGAGAATTTTCTTGGTGGAGGAAACTACGATTAATTGGGTCACGATGCCCATGCTTGCTTTTATAAGTTAGACAGTCGAACGTTGGATTTCTCTTAAAATGTACAGATCGCGTATAAGAGTTAACGAAGTTTAATGAAGATGAACACGTGATTTGTCTGCTAATCATCTTAAAACATATGATTAAATCTATTAGCGTGTTGCGGTCCGCCAATGATGGCATGCGAGGCATGCTTAACATTTTAATGTAATCGTGATTTAAATTAGACATACTACGATGTACTTTGTACGATATGAATCTCGGAAATTAATGGTGTACTCTCTCGCAACGTTACTTCATACATGAAACACGGGAAAATCAAATAGTAAAAGTGCATTTGAAATGAGGTCGAATACGCTTGCACTATGTTAATCTAATTAACGCCTCACACGGCATCTTTATCGGATTATTATTCTCAATATCAAATGAAAACCATTCGATAAATTTTGTTTTAAAACTGTAAAAGTCGACTCACCATTATAGCGCGACGCCTCGACTCAACGAATTCTCGTTCCATTTGCAGGTCCAGTTCTTCCTCGTGTTCGTACACAGCACCCAGGCCCTGATATTCGATTGCGGCTACCCAAAACTGGTGGCGGGGCTTCTCCTGCTTCATTCGTCGATCTTCTTCGTACTGTTCTCCGATTTCTACCGACAAGCGTACAGGAAGGCCAGGACGAAGACGGAGCTGAAGGGAGAATAAAAGAAGGGACATGAACGCGCGTACTTTCCACGAATATCTCTCAAACACAAATTCCAACCGCCCGCCTCTCGACTCCGCGTACGATCGAACGATCGTGGATCAGTTTACGCAAACAATAGGAACAGAAAGAAACGCTTCACCTTGTGCGTTTACAACGTCTATCCGATTTCATAGGCGACGATTCGTCGAACGACTAGGAAATCACCCGTTGATCAGGGAACAATTTGTCGATATCGGATAACGGTTACACAATGTCGGCTGATTAGCTTAATTTACCGACTATATCGCGCGGAACTAGTCATCGAACGTTTCGAGACAACTTTACCGGATGCTGATTCGCGAACTCGATCGTCTGGACGATCGATCACGGTCGTTCCATCGAGGGTGGAGCTTACTGATTTCCTTCCGTATGGAAGAGATTATCGCATGTTATCCCTCGTATCCTCCGCAGGGCATCTCAGGTCTCGCGAACAGCTCGGACCAGGGCTTCCGAAGCACTTCTTAATCCCTTCAAAAGGGGCGACCAGACCGTTAAGCCGCGAAAAATGTATTTACATGGCAGCTATGGTGCCAACCATAATTCTTATTCAAAAACGCTTTCAACAACATTAGAAACTCCGATGCGTCTCAACGTGTATCTCACTTTAACAAAGTCACTTCTTCAGAGATCGGTTCGCTGGAGAAAGTGCATCGGAAACCCAGAATCGACGTAGCTTCGTGCGATCGATTCGGTCCTTGGTGTCGTTAATTTAATGATCCTTATTTTCTTTTTCTACTTTAGGTGTTACGCGTCGGCAAATCTCTAATCAAGGGTATTGTAAATATAGGAGTAGAGTTAGCACCCCGCGGGACACCGTTCTCGCGGATTTATTTAAATCTATGCGCGATTTGAACCGATCGCGCAACTCACGGTACGCGTGCGTCAAGGCGCAAGTTTCGCAAGTGGCGGAAAAACAAAGTTAAAATTAAGTAAAAATTTGCGTAGAGAACGCAACGCGTTGCAAATGTCTCTTCCCTGTACAGATGAGCTAACTTTTATCACCTGTGAAATCGAAGCGTTTATACTTTTCATTTTCAACACGAAAATCAAGCAGTGCTATTCTGTACACTCTTTATGGTCCAGAATAGAATATTCTTTGCAAATATCAAAGATTAGAGTTTATGCATGGAAGCCGTACTGCGACGAGACTGTTCCAACGCGTTGCATTCAAGCGGGGAACAGAAACTTGATGTCAATGATGGGCAAATTTTTATTCAAATAACAGATGACGATTTATTCGCGAAAAGTTCAAACTCAATGATTTTGTATTCGCGACTATCTACGCGTCGCTAGATCACCACGTGATTTCGAGTGTTTGTAGTAAGCTCGCAAAGGATAAGTTGTAAGCGGATGTGTTTACACTTTAAACCTAGGAACGGTGGGAATAGAAGTATCGCGTGGCTGCTGGCTGAGAACGGTATCAATCTCAACCGCGATATAGGTATCACCTGTACAACAGTGGCACGCACACTTCTGCGCACACGACATGCATCTAGAAGGTGTGCTAAAACGGATAGCCCAAACTTCTCGTATGCACAGTACAGGGAGAACCAATTATATTATAATTGATTGCAATTAAATAACCCACTCGTGATCGCTTAGAGCGATGGTCATGGTCAGCCATTAAAACACTACTGTTCGAAGACACGTAGCACTCTATTCTGCCAAACATACTTGAGGCCACCAGTTTTAGCACACCCAGTACGTGTAATTCCTCTCACTAGCGCGTAGGCTGCTGAACCGATGGATCTATGGGAGCGTGTACTTAACGTTTCTTACGAAATCTGGCTATTAAATCGGATTTCGTAGCCGAGGTTCGCCAACCGTACCGCGAAAGCTCTTGCGAAAGAATATCGCGTCGATGATGTTGCTCCAGATGCGACCAAGTGCCGCAGTGCGGTAAACGCTAGGTTCGCGTCGACGAGGAACGACACGGGTCGCCCAACAGCGATAAAGAGCCTACTGTCTGGCCTGCACGAGACGAGGGTGTCGACACGTACCCTTGCGCTCCGTTCATGAACGAACCAGGGGGTAGAATGACGCGTTGCTCGTCAGGCATCCTCGGGGCCACGCACGCGTCCGGGGGTTGAACGACACTCACTCGGTTCACAGAGAAGGCGGTGAAACGACGAAACGGTAACGGAACGATCCCTCACCGGACATGTGCAAAGCTCTCCCACGTAGCCAGCCGGAGTACGGACATTCTCTACATTATCGATTCTCTCGATTCACCCCCTCGAAGGGTGTGGACGGAGACGGTCGTTCCGCTGGTACCGGGAGAGAGATACGACAAGGCTGTGTTGGATAATGATTACTACATGATTATTCTTTAAATTGATCAGTAATCACGAACTTTCAGTAATCACGAAAATTCTTATTTTAACGCGACGCCTCTGTTACCGCAACGTATCCTTTCGGTGTGGTTAATTATTTATTAACCGTTATTCATGTTTACTGGTTACACGGTAATTATAAACACGAATTACATATCGGCCAACACTGTAACGATACCGATAACTTTCGTACGGATTCATCGTCAAGTCTCAGCCTAAGATTGTAATTTATTGAGCGTGCGTTACGCATGCATGCGACAAAACTGTTTGTACATATGTAATTCTTTTCTTTTTGTAATGACAAATAAATTTTATTAAGTTACTCCCAAGTATAATTTATTTCTTTTATTAATATTATTTATTTACAGTGATGGAAAAACCCGTCTATGAATATGAATGCCTAAAACTGAACAGCAACAGTTAATCGATTTGCGATCTAAGACGCAGCCGCCGCAGTCTGGTTTTGTTTCTCCATTTTTCTCTTTTCTCTCCTTTGAAGTCGGCGTTCCCGTTCGTATTCTTTCATTCGCAAATAATAGCTGAAACAAGTAGACGTTACAGTGACAAAATTTCAGAGAAAAAATTGATATTTCTGCTACAAGTAAATGCATATTTGAAATTAAAAGCTTACTCTTCAGCTTGACAATGAATGTAGGCATGTTGTTCTTGTCTACAACGAGGATGTATAGGCCAATGTCTTCTTTCGCAGGCTGAATACTCTAAGTACTTGTGAGCACAATAATCTCTGAATTTTTTTGGAACTTTGCCTGCTATCATTTCTTGCTCTGTTGCCATCATTACTATAAGGTAAAATAATACTATTAACCGATATAAAAAATCCCAAGAAACAATGTTTTTGCATACAATTATTATATTACTATATTATATAAACTAAGTTTTCTTAAATATCATAGATATTACAAATAATACAAAGAAATATTTGAATCAATGGGACAAAAAATGTATGAAAGACCATAATGTTCTTAAGATCGTGTGAGTATTTTCAAATGGAGGATCACTTAACTCATTTTAATTAATTGAAATGATTGAATTCCTCTTGACAGCAACCTTCATATAATATAAAGAGGATTATCAACAAATTATAAAAGTAATCATAAATTTTGAAAATTTAATCAAACAAAAAAAATAAAGAAAACTTAGAAAATTCTGGATACTTAAAACATATGCATATGTTCACCATCAAAAGTGGCACTTAAAAAACTGTTCACAAAATATTTAAAAAGTCTTGTATACAATCCGTAACGAGAGGAATAACAACGTGAGATCTTCATTTAATATAAGTCTTCAAATGTTCGTTCAAATATTGTAGTTTTTGCACACATAGTTATGTCACTGGTAGAACACTCATACATGAAAGCAATAATAACAATGCAAACAAACTTTGGGACGATAAAAGAAAACCGATAACGACCGAATCGTTTGTTACCAGTTGATTGAATATGTTGTTTGTACAATTATGAAACATCGAATATAAAATATCAGCAATTAATTTGAATTTTAAGGTTAGAATGGAACAAAATACTTGCCCCTTTCTTTACGACCATTAGGAAATCCCAATTGCGGATCGAATGACGGAGGTTTGAAGCCTTCCGGGTATTCACTCCAATTTCCAAAAGTTGTTAACACGTTACCCATTTTTGTTAGATGTGTTACCAAATTATGATAGAAATATCTACCTAGCTGAAGACGTAAGGTAGTTCACTCCGCGAGATGCTGACATCTAGCGACACTTATTTACGTAACCTATTATAGCTATTTACATATGAAAATACTAAACACGATTTGACATTTGCGGAACAGAATTGTTGACATTTTGAACAGAAAAATTTGACAAGTTCGACTACTTTGAATAGGTAAGTTTGAATGTTTAATTTTACATGGAAAAAGGGATATATGTACGAAGTTTAGAAGAAACGATTTATTCAAATATCGCTGAAATAAACATATACATATATTAAAAATTGTAAAGAATTTGAAAGGTGATTGGTAGCCTGATATTCATTTATAAAATCGCTTCAGGGCAATTAGGTTATATCAATAATTTTATTCTTGAAAATTTAAATTATTTCTTAACAAACATTCAAGTTGTGTAGCACATTTCTTATTAGCTTAACAAACTGTTCTTGCTTCTGCGAAGAGTATCAATCAAATACTTACAGCAATAAAAAAGATCATTCTTGTTTTATTGTATCTGAAAAATTTAATCATCCTCTTCTTCCATTGCTTCAGGTATATTGTTTCCTAAAACATGTCAGATAATATAATTAAGAATCAATGTCCTATATATTATGAAAACTATCACGTACCAGTTTGTAGCCTTTCCTCATTAGGCATATGTCCAGCTTGAAGCAATTTACTAAGACGTTGTACTTCTTCAAGGGAAGAAGCATTCGTAATAGCCTCCCTAATTTTGTTGCGTTCCTCTAGTGTGGTTAAAGGTTTATCCGTAAATGCACCAGTAGCTTGTGTTTTTGCCTTTTTAGCTATCTCCCGAACCATTTCTTTTCCTTTCTTACTTCTAAAGTAAGCAACTGCAGCTTCGCGCTCCTTCATTTTAATTTTCCTAAAATCTAGAAGCCTAAGTTGTGGAAACCTATATACGACATATTGCCTGTACTGAGGTTTTGCAGAGACTGGATTTTGTAGTAGACAAAGATTAGTCAAATTCTTTAACTGGGTCAGTGGTTCCAAGTCACCAAGTTCTTGAATCATATTTCCAGTTAGCATAAGGGTTTCTAAGTTTGGTATGCAATGCTCCAATCCTTCCCCAATTCTAACAATACGATTATTGTTGAAAAAGAGCGTCTTGATTCGTTTTAATAAAGGAAACCCATCCAACTTCCTAATATCATTGTCTGAGAAATCTATAGTGTCAAACTGATCCTGAAAACATTTTTTATTTGGAGCTGCAAAGTTTATTAATGCATTTCAAACTTAACTACACGACAATGTTAAAGAAACAATTCCATCACACAAGAATTCATATCTTGAAAGTCCGTGACTTCGTAAAGTGTCACGAACCTAAATAAAGATCGCGCATAACCAACAAGTATGTAAACAACATCACAAAATCAAAGAACAAGAATTTATTGATATGTATACTAACCAGAGTTGCGCCCAAGTTTTCGATCGTAGGTATTTTGTATCCTGTAATACAGAAGAATTAAAAGAACATTAAAGAATTAGAAAATTAACGACAGCTTTGAGGTTATACTTGCTCAATGCGTTTCGCCTACACACCTCTCAGATCCAATTCACGATCCTTTACAGGATTTATATACTGCATAGATTGTTGTATTAAATCTGGCGTTAATTTCACCATTTCTTAATAATGTTGTTATTTGTAACCACTATGAAATGAAGGTTATCTTGATAACAACAACAGATCGTTGAAGTTCGTCGCGAGAGTTAAGATCTCACAGTTGGCAAGAATGGATACTATGAAATCTCCCTAGTATAGCCAACGGAACATTCAAACAGTTTGATATACATTTCGCGGGAACAGTATAATAAATCTGAATTTCTAAACAAAAATTTTGCCTGATTTAAAACAAAAAGAAAAAACGATAAAATAGGAGTTTATCGAGAGCAAAACGTTGACTGAATTTTAGCTGAAAATCATCAACGATACCATGAATTATTGAAAAAAGAAGTGAAAGAGTTCGACGAACGTGTAATAAAGTCGAGTACGCAATGATCGTTAACGTTTCCTCTTGCAACAACCAGTAACTATTTCTACGAGCTAAGAGCAAATATAAATCCTCCGGTTACGAGGTATAATAAGTCTACTTGTGTTCGATAATCGGTGAAAATACAAGAAAACCTTCAATTTCCCCGTATACGGTTCTGCATGGATAATGACGGCGGCAAACGTCGTTTAAAATTTAACATTATTCAACAGTGCCATAAAAAACGAATAACAGTCTCGTTGATATTAATATTATGGATTTCTCTTTGTTATGGATTCATTCAAACCGTTTGTTAAATAGAATTTATTAAATTTCCATAAAATGTTTAGTAAGATTCTAAAACGCAGTAAAGTATTGAAGGAAGTCTTTCAAATCTGGAGACTTCAATGCCTCGAGATCGAAAGTAACGGTACGATCTTGCTGGACAATGTCCGCCAGTCATAGTTAAATAGCTACGAGCACTTTCAGGAACGTTCGACGGATCGACAGATGTAACCGTTTTACGTCAGTTACGAAACTACATAGTAAGCAGCCGGTCAAAGCACGATCCAGACGCGATCCGGTTTTTCCTATTCGATCAGCTACAACTTCTTCCAAAACACACGAAAACGCTGCGGGGTACGAGAATGTTTGGAGATTATAAAAATCTCAATGTGGAGCTTCTTCTGATATTCATCTTTAATCGATGGGACGTGACGCATTTGACTTCCGCTTGCGTTCCCTGAAAGGAATGTAGTATCGCCGTGTATTCCTGAAAAAAAAGCTGCAATTTAAATGAAAATGAATCGATTTCAAATTTCGATGATTACAAGGCAGACTCGGTTGCATTTGTTTGAACAATGTTCACGAACAGACGTCAATGTCACTCGTTTACAAATAAACAAGTCAATTTTTATTTACACCGGCAGCCACGTTTCTTGGACATGTGTGACATCATGTTCATTTATCAGACTTTAGTTTTTAAATATGCATAAAAATATAGATAGTGTTTCGTGGTCGATGGTTCTAAAATACGGTCAACTGCATCAAGTACGAAGAAAGGACATGTCAAGTTTCCACCTTCAAACTTGGTATGCTTCAAAATTGAAAATATTGAATTTATGTTTAAATTATTATTCAGTGATAGTAGAATGCATCAACGGTCCCTGATTCCGTGACTAACAAGAATAGCCCACAGACTTGGGACTTCCAAGTTGGAATCCCATACGCATTACATATGCTTTCTCAGTAATCTGTAAAATCGCAGAATAAATTAATGCATAGAACGCAAGTCACATTCGCAATCGATTTCAAGAACGCGGAAAGTCACATACAGAG